CTACCCAAAGCTCCCACTAAAACATTTTGTCAATGTGTTTTTTTTGGGTGGGGTGGGAAAGAGATTTTTTTCTTTAAGTTTGACATCAAAATTTGCATCATACACCTTTTTTCCTGACTAGGATTCTGTATACTTTTGTGTAGAGGGCTCAACAATCTTCCTCAAGCCTAGTTTGGGCAGAAAGGAAACACAGGTTCTACGGGGAGGCACCATACCTTCCCCACCAGTTAGAAAGTGACAGACACAGGCATGGGGAGGGGGCCACTGCCCTAAACATCAGATTTATTGTGCTGTTCTTACATTCCAAACCCAACCCTCTCTTCCAATGAGGGTCCAGCAGAGGTAAGGATTTTCACAGTACCTGCATGCCTCCCTGCTGTGCTTCCCCCTTAACCCTCAGTCCATCTATCCATGGTCCACTGGCCAAGGAGAAATGGGAATCCCTTGTTGGGAGAAAAGGAGGAAGAGGCCAGAGAACTTGATAACCCCCACCTCCCATACCCTAGGAGAACAGAGGTCAGCAAACAGTCCGTGCCTTCAAGCCCAGTGGGCTGACTGAGAGGAGATGATGGGAACTCCTGCACAGCTGGGCTTGTTGCTTAGGTGCCAGAGGTGTGGGGAGGAGGCTGGGGCAGCAATATAGGAAAGCTTTCTTTGCAGATCCAAGAAAGGAAACTATTTTTGGAGCCAAAGAGGTAAGACTTCGGGATACTTTTCTCTTCCCCCAGGTTCTCAGGGAGCAGTGGGTAGCTTCTTCACACTTCTCTTCAGGGGGCCACTTAGTGGCTGGGGGATCGGGCCTTGTGAAACAGGTACACAGGACGCTGGAAGCCTGAGAGGAGAGAGTCCAATTAGAAGCTGACAGGATGTCAAGACGCTACAGAGTCTGCAGTCCTTCAGGGCTGGACTCCCTCCTCCCAACCAGTAAGCCAGCCTTACCTTTGGAGGTGTTGTGGGGTGTGGCCACAAGCTCATAGCTGGAGAAGCCCACCTCTGGGGATGTCAGGTAGGAACTGAACTGCTCTGGCTTCAGCTGGATTCGATAGTAGTTCTTGTAGATTGTTTCCTAGGGAGAAGGGCAGGAGACTGCTTCAGCTGCTGCCTTCTCTCCTGGTGGAGGATGCTCACCCAGGGGGCCTGTTCACCTTGTTCAGAAGTCTTTTCATCCTGCTTCCTTGAGGCCTTTCTTGCCTCAACTAAAGGAAAGATGTCCCCAACTGCCACTGAAACCCCAACTCACCGTGAGAGTCTTTCTCTTGCCATAGGATGACCAAGGTTGGGGCTCCAGGACCAGGATGCCCCCAGGGCGTAGGTGCCGGTAGATCCGGCGGAACATGCGCTTCAGCCCCTCATCCCCCCAGTTCAGATGCACCCACTTGGTGAGGCTGAGGCAGAGCACCACGTCATACTCAGGTGTTTGGGCCTCCACCAGCTCATCTCGTTCCAGCACATAGTTACCCTGAGGATGAGAATTGAGGGTGAGGTCAACAGAAGCGTTAAAACAATCACTGTCCCCACAACCCACTCTCTGCAGCCTCACTAGAGCCCTTGGCTACGATATTCTCTGGTACTCCTCAAACTAACTCCCTAAACAGTACCCTTTTTGAGTCCCTTTTCCTGCTTTACATCCTCCTGCCTCTGCTTTTATTAGTAGCTAACATAAAAAGGGAGACTGGATAATTTTAAATTGAGCAAATTATCCACGAAGTCTCCAAAGCTGCAATGAAATTACAGAGAAAGAATTCTGGGGTTTGCCCAAGACCCTGTCTAATACTTATGCCTACCCCAGAAACATTAAGCTGGGGAACTCAATGTTATGCATAGGGACCTAACCCAAGTTTGAAAGCGAAACCTCTGGTTCCTTCCCTGTACTTGGGGCAGGCAAAAGTTTCAGGCCTATCCTTTCCTCAGAGAAATTAAGAGCCCCCATACCTTAGGAAACCTGTTCTAGATGATAATCTCACCACTGCCCTCTGGAACATCTATTCTTTCAGGCTTGACCCAACACACTACCACCTATTCCTGCAGGTGGCCTAACTAAGCAGTTTGAGGGACAGATGAACAGTCGGGACAGACATTCTGAACAAAGGACACCCTCCCCGGTGCAGAGGACTCTCTTCCCCATCCCACTATCTAGGGTCAATGTAGAGATGATCTGAAGGCAGGCCACTTGGGTTCCTGACTCTTCAAGCAACCCTGCATCGAATGCAAACAAGGTTCCTTTCAAAGGACAGAAACTGTAAATATTAGCCACTACCCAAATCCAACCCCCACGACATTCCATGTCTGGTGCCAATTCCTTTATGTGCCTTCAGCAGGCTGGAGTACAGTTTTCCATTTGGACCATATCCTCTAGTGATCAGCAGCACCCCCAAGGGAAGGAGCAGGGCAAAACGAGTCAGACCCCAGCTTGGGGCTAGTAGTCATGAAAAAAAAATCCCAGGTAGTGCCCCACCTTTCCAGGTGATAAGAGGGGAAGACACTCAGTACTATCAGTTGCACATCTCGATCCTTCTCTTGAGGACCTGGTTTTCTTAGAGAGGAGTGCATGCACTGAAATCCCTCTGGGTCATAACCTTGCCTAATACATTCCTGCTTCATCTCATTTTCAGACCTGGCCCCATCCCAAGAGCCTTTGGACCCTCTTACCGTGACGAAGACAACATTGTTGGGGAACACTGATGTGTCCGCTCCATCCAAGGGCACTTGCGGTGCAGCGATGGGACCACGGCTGGCTGTCAGTGAGGCTGGGAAGCAGCTTCTCTTTCGGACGGTCGTGGTCCCTTCCTCATTCTCTGCCTCTGGGTCCCCTTCAGAAGCCTGGGGTGGCAGACGCAGCTCCTCAGACAGGTAGTGTCGGATGTTTTGGCGGGCCGAGTGGATGAGACGGGCATCGATATCCAGGCCCACCATGCGGGATGGGCCCCACTTACACGCAATGCTCAGGGTCAAATGGCCCACATTGCAGCCCAGATCTAGGATGTCCCGACCCCGAAACCACTCGGGCTTCAATACCCGAAGGCGCCCATCCTCACAGGAAGGATTGCGGTACCCATAGTACTTGCAGTAATTCCCATACTGGAACTTGCGCTGTTGCTTTTTGAACCCGGCTGCAGGTAGTGGGTGGAGGTGGTGGCGGCCTCCCCCACTTCCTCTGCCCTTTTCCTTGGGACCCTGGCCTCCACCCCTAGCCCCTGCCTCTGACTTGCTGGAAGTCCTGCGACGTTTTCGATGTCGTGAGGAGGAAGACGAGGGTGCAGAGGTAACTGAGGCAGCTGGAGGGGCTGAAAGGGAGCCTGAGGGACCCTGCAGGGCAGACGGAAGGGGAGACACGACCTCATCCCTACAGTTGATGGCTGTGTTGAGTTCATAGGGCTGGGGGGCGTCCCGGTTCTGGCCCCTATGCCGCTGCTGCTGTGTGGCGCCCTCCCCATGGAGTGAGGGAGTAAGGGGGGCTGTGGGCAGCGCAGAGTGGCTATCATTCCCTCCAGCTGCCTGCTGTTGGTGGTGCTGTCCCCGGTGTCTATGCCGCTTCCGACCAGTCTTGAGTGGCGAAGCAAGAACTACTTGGGCTTCATCAGTGCAAGTATTGAGACTGAGCGGGTCAGTAATATCTTTGGGGATGAGGATCTCCACTGGATCTCGCCCCTTGGCCGGAAGTGGGGATGACTTAGGGGTCTCCGCATTGAGTGCGCGGCTCACTTCCTCATCCAGGAGACTATTCAGGTTCAGTGGATCAAAGATATTGCCCCCCAAGAGGAAGTTGGAAGGTAACAGGGAGTCACAGTCCGAATTAACCCGCCTGCGCCTCTTGAAGGCCGGATGTTTGAAGCCTCCGCCACCTCCCCCAACATTACAGCTATTTCTCCTCTTGCCCCCACCTCCCCCAGGAGGCCGGTGAGGCTGATAGCCATTACGGGGTCGAGGGGCAGGGGGGCCCAAGTCTGTCCCGCCCCCTCCCCGTCGCTCCTCCCCCACGTCCAGAGGAGCGGCCCGCCCGTGGGGATCCGACAAGCGGGCCTCGCTGTGCGACTGAGCTTGGGGGCCGCCCCCTCGTTGCTGCTGCGACTGGCCGCCCCGAGGAGTGGATGTAGCGCTCGGGCTCTCCCTGCGAGCCTTAGAGACCGGTGCCCCCGCCGAGGGTGCGCGTGGGCCCGGCCCACGCTGCGTACCGCCGCGGAGCTCTCCGGAGGCGGCCTCTCGGTGCGATTGCACCGTGGGGCCGCCCCCTCCGCCCGATTCATCTTTGAGCGGCGGCGGCGGGGCAGGCACCAGAAACGGCTCTTTCTCCGCCGCCATCTCGATCATTTCCTCCCCTTATTCCGTCCCAGAGAGAGCAACGAAGGGGGTGCCAGGGGCTTAACCCCCGCTTCCTAGACCCCGAACCCTTCCCCTTTCCCGAGTGCGCGCGCAGCTCTGCTCTTCTCGCCTAGTCTCGCGTCCAAGCGCCTCCCCCGAAGCGCGCCCCACTCGCCCGCGAGACCAAAACAAGATGCCCGCGAGACCCGAACTCGAGGAATCAACCGCGCGTGCGCCGACCCTTTTCTCTACCACTACCGCTTCGCCGCGAGCGCGCACTGCTGGAGCGCGTTCGGCTCGCCCCGGAATCACGCATGCGCACTCCGCCACCACCCTGGTTGCGCGCGCATCGGAGTACGAACCAACTTAACGGCTCCGAGAGTTTAAATATAGAACCCCTGCGCCCCCCTCCAAGAGCCCACCACCCCAAATTGACACCCTACTTCCCTTCGCTGCTATGTCCGTTCCCTACTGATATCCTTTGTCTCTGTCGCACGATCCCACCCACCGTAGGCGGGGGACGGGGAGCTGGTGTGAAAAGGTCTCCTTGACACCCGACCCTTGTTCCTGAGGAATGAGTCTCAGCGGTCTCCGCCCGGCTCTAAACCCAGCAACCTCCCTACCCCGCCTCCTTCCTCCCCCTAAACGAGCAGCGCCTGCGCACACCCTTTTGGGCTTGCGCGGGTAGATACAGCACGTGCTGTAGATGACGCCCCGCCCCCCGCCCTATGGGCGGGGACTGTTACGCAGCTTCCTTAGGTTTGGTACACGCAACGTGCGTCAACACGATTCGGAGAGGCGTGTTTAAGGAACGGGGCGGCCTCATGAATTATTCATGATGCCCCCCACCCCGACCTTTGCCTATCTACTTAAAAGGGTTTCCGAGGAAGCGGAGGGATGAACCTAAAAGTACAGGAATGGAAGGAGCGGGGCGTGCGACCGTCTTCCTACGAACTGTTCTCAATAGAATACGATAGGTCATTTTAACTCACCACCCCCCCGGGCAATAGTCTCTGCTGAACTGAAAACAAAACACTAAAACAACCAAAATTGTCCAACTTCCTCTTCCCCGAAATGACCGAGTTAGTTGCTCGCTCCTCCGCCTTTTCTTAACCGCGATCACCACGCCCTCATCTCCGCCTCCACACCCACAGCCCCGGCCCCAGAGCCTCGTCCACCACCCGACGCCTGCGCACGAACCAACAGCCTGCGGACGGCGACCTGACGCCCACCGTAACAAATAGTACATCCCCCACCCGCTCGCTCACTGGCCTTCCTCAGCAAACGCTGTGTCTTACATAAAAATGAGAGTGGGCGGGCAAGAGGTTTCGGCCTGCTTTGGGCTTCCTGGGTTGGCCAACGGGGAAGAAGCTATTCGACACCCTTTTCACAGGGTGCTAAGGTGGCCCGTCCTCTCTGCCAACAGTGCTTGGTGTGCGGATCCTGAAGTAGAATAAGGTGGGAAAGACGAGAGTGGGGTTAAGGTCACTCTCAAATAAAATATCAAAATAAGGGCGTAAAGGACGATAAAAGGAGGAACAGGAATCAGAGGATTAAAAGGGGAAGGAACCGGCAGTTTAGAGCAGAGAGAAGAGTCAGTAAAACGAAGATGTGCTTCATGAACAATTTGGCGCTTTCGCTGCCTAAACTGCGGCCAACGAGGATTATGGGACTCGTAGTTTTACTGGGCTTCAGGGCCGAAGATGGAGAAAATAACTAAGCTGCGCAAACGCAGAATTGCCTTCCAGTTGAGCATGCGCCTTAGTCGTTGGAGCCGAGTGGGTGGAGCTTATGCGTGGCCTCGCGCTTTTTCTCGGTGGCGGGAAGACTGCGTAGAGATTGGCGGGGGTTTGCAGTGTCGCTTCAGTAGCTCACTCTGCTCCTCGTCCTTAGGTCGTCCTCGCTCCAGAAGGTAGTTGGCTCTTCGGTTACACATGAAAGTGTTAGGCCCGGCAGTCCTGGTACTTGTTGCCTGAGGAGAAGTTTTCTCTTCAGGGCAAAAACCAGCTCTTTAACTTCCTTAGAATCTCTGAGCGCAAACTCACCCTCAACAAACAAAAGTAACCCAAAATCACGAAGGGCGACGACGGGCAGAGTAAGAATGAGGAGCCTGGTACCTCCTCAGGGGTGGGGATGGAGCAGCTGAGGGGAGATTCTCTCCTGGTGGGTTCTTGGATGGCGAAGAGATGCTGGAAAGCACTATTTTACTCTTTGAGGAGAGTCAGAGACTTCGGTCTCTGTGATACCTTCGAGCTTAATTGCTGTGCTGAAGGGAAAATTGGTGAGAGAAGAAGGGAAAAATGCAGATTACCAAAAATTCTTTCCTCTGGTTTGGAAGGTGGAATTAAGTCTATTACTATTACAAATCTCGGTGCCCTGAGGGGCAATGGTACAGAGATCTTGGGGTTCATGGGAATGTGCTCCGTTAAGCGACAGCAACACAGAAAGGCTAGTGTGAGGTGGGTACAGGGCACGTGTGGAAATAGTTAAGGTAGTAGATGGCAGGCATCTCAACGAGACCAGCAATCCTGAGAACGTCTGCTTTTGGTGATAAGTGACTATATCTTTGTGCTTCCTTGCCGCTGAATCAGTTATTTTGCCATTATGTCTAAGATTCTGTGAAAGGTTTATTTAGTTCAGGTTGTTAAGGCAGAAATGTCTTGTTAGGGCGTGTTTAGGTAGTAGAGTATGGGCAGTAAGGGAGGCTGGAATTTTTTTTCCATCCCCAATTCCCTCAGGTACTGATTTTTCAAGGTTTTGATAAACATCCGACATGCCATTAGACCCGAATAGCAAAAGGAAATCAGACTCCAGCTTAAAGGAGATTTTAAATATAGTCTTTACGTACAGTTTTCCAAGGCTCATGGAATCTGTGTTAGAGGACAATTCTATTCTCTTAGACCAAGGATTCCAGGAACAATATGAAGTGGGAATAATTGGGTAGTTAGCAGGGGGAGATTTGTGAATGGGGGGAGGAGAGGATTAATGCTTTTTGAAAAATACTAACAAGACTGAATTAACTTGTTTAACTAGATCAGTTCTCAAAGTTATTGGTCTTAGAACCCTTTTATACTCTTAAAAATGTTGGAGGACTCCAAAAATTGGTTTATATCTGTTTATATATCAATTTATATTCACATACACAGAAAAGTTTTACATACTTATTAATTTGAAAATAAGAGTACTAAGCGTATTACATATTAACATGTTTTTTATGAAAGGTATATTTTTCTAAATGAAAGAAAATTTAGTGTGAAGAATGATGGTGTTTTACATTTTTGTAAATCTTGTTACATGTCTGGCTTAATAGAAGACAGCTGGATTTTCTTCTGTTTCTGAATTCAGTCTGTTATGTTATCTTGTTTTGGTTGACGTGTATGAGAAAATCCAGCCTAACACAGATAAGCAGTTGGAACCCCCGGAGCTTTGGATCATACTTTGAGGACTGCTGAACTAGACGATTTCATCTTTAAATCAATCTGATGATTTTTAGTGTTCTAAGTGAAGGGAAACATTCTATTTTTTGGAACACCTGAATCACCTTTCTTTGGTTCTCCTTAGTTATTTCTAAGTTCTTTTTCCATCCTTATTAACTATTTTTTTCTATGTTGAGTAGCTAGGATCCGGTTTATGGAACTTTTTAAAATTTTCATATTTAAAGCTTTATTAGTTTTTTTTTCTCCCTCTCTTTTTCATCTCAGGTAAGAAAAGAGAAGTTAAAATCTCGAATGTTATTCCTCGGTGTAGAGCCTAAAGTTATTTAGTAGCTGGTCAGATGAAAGTTGGTGGTCTTTTGTGTACTTAGTAACTGTCTGTTTTAAATTTTTTGTCTCTCTGAACTAGATTTCAATATTTGTTACTGTGGAAGAAGATAATTTGTCTGAAACAGAGGAGCTGAGACTTGAATTGTCAGAACGTGACTTCCTGGTTTTCCCTTTTCTATTGATCAGGTTTTAGATTTTTCTCTAAAAGTAGTGTTCATCACACCCCCATTCTAGACTTAGGAGAACTGGTATACACTGCTGCCTCTAGATCTTAAGTAACTCAATAGTGATCCACAACTTTATCCAGTTGATTGGGCTCCAGTAACACACTTTGGCCTATTGAGGTCAGTATAGGTTTGGATGATGATCTGGACCTAAATACCAGAAAATTTTGCCATTTTAGGTTGATTAAAATACTCTTATTTATTGAGAGACTTTAGAATTAAAATATATGTGTATGTTGTAAAATACTAGAGATACACAAGAGGGTACAGTAAAAAGCTCTCTTTCTCCCCTAGCCACCCAGTATCACCCCTCAGAGGCACTTTTGTCAGTTTCTTGTGCATTCTTCTAGAGAGAGGATATACAAACATACAGATGTACATTTTAAAAAATCAAATGTCTCAAATACTCTGTTCTTAATTTGGCTTTTCTCATTTAGATAGCTCTTCTTGTAATTTAGATTAGCTTCATAGGGACTTAATGATCTTTCTTGGAATCCTGGAGTCTGGGAGATGTTTGTCATTTGTTGTTAAATTAATTCCTTTCACAGCCTAATTTTTTTTTTAATCAGACACTTAAAAAAAAATTTTGGTATCATTAGTCTACAGTTACATGAAGAATATTATGTTTACTAGGCTCCCCCCTTCACCAAGTCCCCCCCACATACCCCTTTACAGTCACTGTCCATCAGTGTAGGAAGATGCTGTAAAATCACTACTTGTCTTCTCTGTGTTGTAGAGCCCGCCCCATACCCCCCACATTATACATGCTAATTGTAATGCCCCCTTTCTTTTTCCCACCCTTATCCCTCCCTTCCCACCCATCCTCCCCAGTCCCTTTCCCTTTGGTAACTGTTAGTCTATTCGTGGGTTCTGTGATTCTGCTGCTGTTTTGTTCCTTCAGTTTTTCTTTATTATACTCCACATATGAGTGAAATCATTTGGTACTTGTCTTTCTCCGCCTGGCTTATTTCACTGAGCAAAATACTCTCTAGCTCCATCCATGTTGTTGCAAATGGTAGGATTTGTTTTCTTCTTATGGCTGAATAATATTCCATTGTGTATGTGTACCACATCTTCTTTATCCATTCATCTACTGATGGACATTTAGGTTGCTTCCATTTCTTGGCTATTGTAAATAGTGCTGCAATAAACATAGGGGTGCATCTCACAGCCTAATTTTATTTGGCTTCTAGCTTCTATTTAGAATTATTACTAAAAAACCAATTTGCTGCTGTGTTTCTCCTCCAATTTCTCATTTGCCTTCTTTCCTGGTGGTTGGTGGTGATGAGTTAAGATGGAAACAGTGAGAAAGTATTCTCTTTAATAATAGAAGAAAAGTAGTTGTTGCAGAACAGTACATCTGTGTTTATCACATTTATAGGAGTAAGAAATGGAACAGAGACATACCAAAAGATAATTAAAAAATACTTTCCTCAGCCATGCTGTGGTTACACTAAGTCCAGCCCCCATGAATCATTGAATAGAGCCAATAAAATCTTCAAAATTTGTGCAATTGAATTTCTGTTTATTTTCAACACCTGCCTACTGATGAGTACCTACCTTGTGTGGGACATGGTTCTGGACATTTAAAACACTAAGGATTTTGCTAATCCTTAAAACAGTAACTCTTACTATCCACTGGCATGTAATTGGCACTGCTGAGGAGGTAGCAGTATAGTCAAGAAGGCAGAAAATGTAATTCAGGGATCCCAGCCAAAGATCCTGAACCCAAGAAGACTGGGAGAGGAGAAAATTTTAAATCATATTCAATCAGAATCATAGCAGTTAATTTCTTTTTTCCAACAGGCACAAAGAAAGTGTACCTTCTGAGCTGAATGATGGCAACACTGCAGAGTAAAGAAGGTAGGCAGAGAGTGAGGAAATTTTGCTTTGTACATTTCTCTCACTTTTCCCTTCTTTCTCAGCCCTTGGAAATCTGCATACCCTTCTCACCAAAGGGAAGCTCAGTTCACTTACATTTTGTGTCCACTTGGTTAAAGCTACTACTTTATTACTTTTCTAGATACTTTTGAGTGAAATACATATGACTTAGAAATTTCTTATTTAGGAATGTAAAACTTGTACGGAGAGAAAAGACATTTAAATATCTGTAACATAATCTTGAATGTGGTAAATGCCACCAGACAGGTACAACATATATGGAAGCTCAGAAGAAAACAGTATTACTTATACCTGGCAGGACCAGTACAATTTTCATTGCATCATTTGTAGATTTTTGACTCATTTTTTTTTCAATTTCTATAACTTCCCATACAGTTTTGTCCATAGTTACAATGAGCAAATTTTTTAAATTTCACATTTGAATAATTCAGCTTCCTGCATGGTTATGTTAATCACCTTTCAATTAGTGGTTCCTAAACCTGGCAGTGCATCACAATCATTTAGACAGCCTTGTAGAATTACATATTCCTGGGCCTCACTCTCAAATACTTCATCAGAATCTTAGGGAAGATGGAGAGAACTAGGATAATTCTCACATGATATGGCCAGTCAGTAAACAGTGTTTGACGATTTTTGTGTTAGACTCTATGTTTCATAAACTCTGTTTGACAATCAAATCTCTTTCAGAATGTGGGAAAGGACCAAAGAAAATCTTTGCTCCACCTGTACAGAAATTACATAGCTTGATGTCCTACAGCCTTAACTCACCCAAGGAAGAGACCCTGGGAATCAATTCCCCAGCGGCAGAGGCCAGACCAAGCCTGCCAAAGGCCAGGTTAGAGAAGAAGAAGGAGAAAGCAACCTCAGAAAATGGTCCAAGCAATGGCCAGGAGAAAAAAGGAAAAGTTCAAGACAAGCGAGCAGTGAAGAAAGGAAAGGTATTAGTTTCCTTGCTGGGCTCTAGTGGGGACCGTTTCTCTTAAACACCCAGCCTAGACAAACAGAATCTTGCATGCTGGGGAAATTCATTCTGTACTTCAGTTTTTTATTCCATCATGTTTTAATGAAAGCATTTAACAGGAAATAATGGGTAGGTTGGGGTTCAGTTGGGATGGAGGTAAGAGTAGAAGTGGACAGAGACTTTATACACTCTTTCCTTTTCTTTGACTTCTTTATTCCCAGGAGATCTGGGATAGAGTTTATGGAATTCTTAGGTTCACTGACTTCATGCTCTCAGCCTGTGAATTTAATTTGCTCATCTAAAGGAGACTTGGCTGAGGTTAGAGAGGAGAACTGGGTAAAGATGAGTGGTTTTCCTCCTCCACCCTTGTCTCTGCAGGAAAAAGCAAGTCTTACCAATGATGAATTTGAGGAGATTGTCCAGATTGTGCTACAGAAGTCTCTTCAGGAGTGCTTGGGTATGGCATATAATGAGAGAAAAAGAGTTTCAGTTAGAGAAAGAAACTGTTATCTGAAGGGTAGAGCAAGTTGACAGCTTCTCTCCTTCCTCCTATCTTCCCTAAGTAGGGAAATATTAGAAGCAATTTTGAAATATTTTTAAATACTTCGTCGTCTATCAACAGGACTATAGCTAAACCACTTAGGCAAAGGGTAGACTTAGAAAAATAGATTACATTGACTTCAGAATATAAATATAGTTTCATCTAGATTTTTTAAATGTGATTTAGATTCATTTTTATATATTTACAATCTACTTGGAAAAGATAAATTGGTTTTCCCAGGTCTGAGGAACTTAGTTTCCATCTACACATGTATATTTCTTTTTCCAATACTGTTTTAACAAGGATTTGATTTTTAGAATAAAAACTCTACAGTAGGCCCTGAGGTCTTCTCCATAGGTTGTGAGGCAAAGGAGAACGGTCTGACATTTCAGCTTTTCCTAGGTGTATTTCTCCTAGAGAAAGTTTGAGGTAAAATGATACAAAACCAGTCTGTAAAATTTCTGTTATGCACACAAAATGAAATTAACATTACCTGGCTATTCTGGAATGAGGCAGATCAATCTGGAAAGGCTTGAAGAAAGATACAGATTTATTGTTTTTCCTGAGAATTAAAAAACTTAAAGTTCTATGCTATGACAAATATCCAAAGGTAGACTCTTCAAGGTAATAGGTGGGACATATGTTAATGAAAGGTTATGGCTTAGAAATAATGGAGTGGTTATTTTTATAATTGCTTCTCTACTTATGGTATTTTGTTTTGGGAGAGATGGGATCTAGCTTTGATTTTGCAGAGACTTCCTGTGCCCAGCCCATAAGATCTACCCAGTTAGACAAGGAACCAGGAATTGCTCCTCCTACTACTGATAATGCTCATGCTAATGGGTAAGTGTATCCAAGTGAGATGAGTTGATCACAGGGTGGACTTAGCATTGGTAAATGGTTATCTATCTCTCTACCAGTCATTTTTCATATCTCTAGATTTCTCTCAACCCAGGAAAGATACCTTGTTTGAATTGGGAAAAATTCAAGTAGGCAAGTAGATGTATAAAATGACTTCAAGAGGCCTTAGAGATCTTCTAGGATTCTTCTATCCTTTTAGGAAGAGTTGTATGTGTTGTATTTTCAAAAATATATGTGGTTTTGGGAGGAGATTTCCGCTGCTCTACTCATGCCCCCTCAGATTCTTCTGTCCTTTTAACTTTTATCCTTGAGATTTTTCAAAAGAAGTGTACTACAAATTGTTCCCTTTTACCTTTTAATTAAAAAAATATCTTATTTTCAGAGGGAGGATAACAGGACCTGACATTCTAGAGCTTTCAGCCTCTCAGGAAGATGGAGTAATCCCTGAGATAAAGACATCTAAGACAGGCCAGCCAGATCCTGTATCCTCTGAGAAGAAATTCAGTAGACTTTCCTTAAGCAAAAGAAAGAAGGAAGCTCGTAAGTATAGTCTCTTATACGTTGACATCTGGCTTTGGTACTTACTCCACAAAAGTAGTGAATGGGACAGTGGGCAGGCTGAGAATTTTCAGCCAAAGGCTGGAAACTATTAGGCTCTGATTCTTCTTTCACTAGCCTTTAGTATCTACAAATATTCTCTTTATCTCCATGCCCTATAATGTTTCACTTTATACAGAAGATAAAGTGGAGAAAACCCAAAGTGGACATGAGCATAAGCAAAAAGACCAACCAAAGAAAATAGTTCGGGATCATTCTCACATCAGGGAACAGCAAAAAGGAGAAGAAAGTGGTTTTGGTGAGTTCATTCATGGTTTAGAAAATCTACTTGGGATTGAAATTGGAAAGAGTAAGGTTGTTACTGGGAATTCCGCAAAGACTATAATTTCTCTCTCACAATTGTTTGTTAAGGTTATGCTGCCAAGGATGACAGAAAGAGTTCATGCATTTCCTTATCCAGTCATATAACCCATAGTTGTTCGGTGCCTACTATAGAGCAGGCATTTTAAGAAGTGCTGAGTAAATACAGAGGATATGAATATAAGCCTGCTACAAGGGAGACAGACTTGTGAGGAAGGCAGACCAGAAAGCTGAGTTGGGAGTAGACCTGGAAAAGTGTCCAGCTTGAGCCAGATCTTGAAGTGTAATTTCTCAGGGGAACTAAGGTGGGGCTAGGGGTCAGGGTGATAATTACTAGCAGAGTTAGGGAGGAGGGCTAATTGTTGTAGTTTTTGGGTGTGTTGGGGTGGGGGATAAGAGGTTGTAGGCGGAGGTAAGGCTAGAGAAATGCAAGGGCAAGATCAGAAAGTGCCTTATGTATCAAGCTAAGGAATTTGGGTTTCATTTCAAAGGTAAAGAGGAACCATTGACATTAAGTAGGGAAAACTTGTTAAGATGCATTTTAGAAGCTCATTCTGCACAAGCATAGAAGATGGATTGGCAGGAGCAAGACTAGCCCATAGAAATAGAGATCTAGCAAGGAAGGTAGACTGTAGCATTGAAGAGTAAGAAACAAATTTGAGATCTTTAGGAGGCAGGATCAACACAATATGGTTGCCGGTTGGATATGAGAGCTAAGGAAGGGCGAGACCTCTAAGATGATTGTGTTTTCTTGAGTGGCTCAAAGAACATGATCTGAAATGGAGAATCTAGAAGATAAAGCAAGTTTCAGGTGACAAATTCAGCTTTGGAGAAGTTAGGGGATCTGTGATGAGATTTAGAGTTTAATAAAGCGATATGGGCTGGAAATACAGATTTGGGAATCATTTGCATCAGTAAGAATGGATGAAATTTTCCAAGAGGCTGTGGAGTGAAAAGAGAAGAGAAATGAATAAAAACCCTGAGGGAACCTAATCTTTAGGTTTGAGCAGAGGAACTGCTTTCCAGGCAGAAAACTAAGAAGCTAAGAGAAAATTCATGTAGAAGGAAGACCAGGAGAGTGTGGTATCATAGAGGCCAGGGACAAGAGAAGTTATGACTGTTCACTGACCAAGTTGTAACAGTCTCACATTGGCTGGGCTGTTGCAGGATTATTGCTAGAGGAGGCAGAAACCCCTCTCTTCTACTGGGTGATAGAGAAGCCAAAATAGTATGGGTTGTAAAGTGTCTGTCTCTTCCTTCCTGTGGGGTCTGCACTTGACTAGGAGTAATGGGGCATGGGAGCTCCCAGTGCAGGCTTCCCACTTCCACTCCTGAGGCTTCCCTTTATCAAATTTCACAATACATACTTGAAACAAAATTCTAGAAAGACTATGTAGGCACCCAACAAGGTAGTGTAAGGCAAAAAACTTTTCCTCATGTTAAAATGACCTGGTAACATGTAGAGCTGGAGGTGTACATCCAATCTGGGCAGTCAGGTGGTCTGGGCAGTTTTTCATGTCCAGTACCTTTCAGTATTAGGGCAAGGATTGGATTTTAGACTGGATGGAAGTTCACTCCTTATGAGTTGAATTGTGATTGTAGTGAATGTGTAAGCTTCTTGCTATAAATAAGCCATTCTTCTCCCACAGTATGAGATATTTTGAAAGGTCCCAAATGTAAATCAGCTGCTTTTCTGAGGGATGATTTTGGTGGAACAGAATGCATTCATTATGTTCAGGCATTTAAGGTAAAATTTAAGAGTGGGAGAGTGAATTTACTAGAGGAATTTATCAGTTGATATTGTTAATTATGAATATATAGCATACCTATTTACCTGGTTATGTGATTTTTCTCTGGCAACACTGAGTTGAGTGAGTGTAGGTACAGAAAAGGTAGACTGGATTTCTTCAGGGTTGCGTTTTGTCAGCTGAATGGGAAGAAGGGTGGAGGGAAAGGGTGTTGAAGATGTCTGAGATAATCTAAGGAATCAAACTGAGTAAGAACAGAGTGAAGAATGGAGGTTGCTAGTAGATTGAGAGGAAGGTAGAGGCCTGTGGATTGGAGATCTAGATAAAGTGAAAGTTGCTTTGGGGGTCTTGAGCAAGTAAGGTGGAAGGATGGGGCATTTTTATCAAAGAGGGATATTTGGATAAGCAGTTTAGGGGAGTGTGTGGTCCTAGCAGATGACTGGGTGGGACATGCAGGAGTGGGAGTGGGTTACTGAAGTGGCGTGGAGGAAAAGGTCAAGGAACTCTGAATGGGGTGAGTTATCCCTGTGGAAATAGTGGATCAGGAATGAGGGCAGGAGATGGAGAGGAGGAGAAGGCTGAATCAGATGCCAGCATGTTTACAAGGGACATGAGAGGGTGGTATAGTCCCATCCCATGGGCTTCAAGGGAGGAAGGGTTTTTAGAAAGAAATAATAATAGTCTGGAAGGGAAAATAGGGAATAAGGATGATGCTGACACCCCTTTCTAGCCTGGGGTGTGTGAGAAGGAGCAGACTCCACTTACAGGGAGGGTGTGGGGTTGTGTAGGGGCAGTGTCATTAGTGCATTACCAGGTTTCAAAAAGGAGAGGGAGGTTTAGAGAAGAGGTTGAGGATGTGTGGACTTTTGTTGCTCTTGTCTAGAATTCCAAGGAACATAGTGAAAGGGTTTGAGACTGAGTGGGGCACTGGGTCAATTTAGAAGACATTAGAGAAAGGGATAGAGAAGGTGGGAATGAGGGTTTGGGAAGTAGTGGATAAAGGGAATGTGTGGCCTTTGAGCAGGGCCTGAAGTACACAGCTGATTGAGAAACAATAGATTTAGACCTGTTGGAGGAGGGCAAACTCAGGGCTGTTGGTCCCAAAGGAGATTTGGTAAATCAGCTGAGATTCAGATAGGAGCTCTGGATGTTGTGTACAAAAGAGATGCTAGTTAGCCCTTCAGAAGAATTTTTCAGTAGTGACAAAGTAGCAGAAAACGAGGTACTAGCCAGAAAAAAGCTAGGCCACCTTTTTAAGAACTGTCAGTACAGGAAACACTTCTGCGCTGGTGGGAGGAAAGATACAGCGTGGTATAGGAAAAAGATAGAACCTGGGTTCTGAGTTCAGCTCTGCCACCAATTTAGACTGATCTTCAGTAGGTCAGTTATCTTCTCTGAGCTTAGTTTTCCCATTTATAAGTCAAAGATTGGACTTGTTGATCTTCAAGGCTAATATTATGCTAATAGAGTTATATATTGATTTTAGTTGGCTTGAGGAAAGAACAGCATATTTTTAAGTCTCTTATTTCAGTTTTTTTCCTTTCACAGGTCAATGTCAAGTCTGGGTCCAGTGTTCCTCTCCAAACTGTGAGAAATGGAGGCGGCTTTGTGGGAACATTGACCCCTCTGTCCTTCCAGTTAATTGGTCCTGTGACCAGAATACAGGTATGGAATGGAAATGTGTTTTTTTTTCAGTTTTTATTATTCCTCCCTGAATATATCATTTAATTAATTACATAATAGGTGCAATTTTAGCTTCCAGGGGTCCTTGTAGTGTTTGGGAGACAGGAAGGGATCTTCCTGTCAGATCAGGATGAATGTAGTATAAGGGGCTAGAAGACCCTGAAAAGTAATGTTGTGGGGAGGGGCCTGGAATCTAAACATATATTCTGAGTGAATTCCATCTTCTTCAGCACTGGTCTGATCCTGTCAGTCCTGCTTAGGTTGTTGGCACTGGACTGGTGGATAGGAAGGGATATGAGCCATATGGGTGAATGTCAGATAAAAGAGATCCAGTGACTTAGAGTGAAACTACTTGGAAGAGCTTATGACAATCAAGTTCAGCCCAGTCACTTTACAGATGAGATAACAGAGTCTCAGAGAAATTACTATCATGATATTACACAGATGGAAGCAGGGTCAGACAGTGAGGGACAGAAGCAGAAGGTTGGAATCTCTTTTTATAGAGTGTAAGGAGGCAGCACTCCTACCCCCCCTGGCTCTAGCTGTATTTCCTCCACAGGTCCTTGTTCTTCTTCCTCCATAACTGTCTTTCATATGCCCTTTTGATCCCACCTGTGGCAAATACCAGTTTCTTTTTGTCCTCTTCCCCACCCTCATGTAGATTTTCAACTTATGTGACTCTTCCTTCTCTTCATTCCTTCTTTTGGCAGACTTGGAGTATAATTGCTGTGATATCCCTGAGGAGACCTGGACAGGGCGTGAGAGTGACGTGGCCTATGCCTCCTACATCCCAGGATCCATCATCTGGGCCAAGCAATATGGTTACCCCTGGTAGGGCACCATGGCATAGTCAGAGAATCCTTCATGAACTCACAAGTGGTAGACTCAATCAGGGAGGAAAGAAAATGGAAAACATTGTTAATGGAAATGGTACCTGCCTTAGAAAGAGCACAAGAGCATGGGATGAGGGAAAAGATAAAGTGCTGAGCTTGGAGGCTTTGAAAGAACATGCTTCCTAGGGGTTTCACAGTAGAGGTTGTATCTTTCTGGAAAAAAGGGGTCTGGTGATTCTGCTCTGAGTGGGTAGAGACATATTTTTTAAACATTGACATATGAGGATATACAAAGTAAAGAACAAGGAAGGGTAGGATAGTTTCTTCTTGGAAATGTCCTTAGAAGATTTTATCAGGGTTGTTGGAAGGGCTATAAGGATAAGATACTTTTACTAGGAAAAGTCTGAGCTTTGTACATTGGTGGAAGTCACTTCAGTCATTTGGTAGTGACTGCTGACAGGGAGGTCTTTGGGATCCTGTGTTTGCAAAACATAGTGCCCCTTTCTGTGGATACTGATGAGTTTGTGTTCTCTTCATGTAACTTCTTCTCTTCTGTCCCTTCTACCCATCTGTCTTCTACAGGTGGCCAGGCATGGTAGAATCCGATCCTGACCTGGGGGAATATTTTCTTTTTGCTTCTCATCTTGATTCCCTGCCGGTGAGTTTTCCTGGCTCAGGGTGGGGAAGCACTCAAGCCAAAGTAATGACACATGCATTCTAACAGGTGCAGAGTAAAAAACATTGATAGAGCCAGCAGACATGAGCAGGAACAGACACCTAGCTGGAGTGACAAACTCAGAAATAAACTAGCATCTAATTAAATATTTATTCATTACTTAAGACACTTATGATTCTGATAAATATGCTTTGGTTAGGATTCTTGAGGTCAGGATGGGAGAACAATGGTGTGAGGTCAGGTAGGTGGGTCAGGTTTAAGGGAGTACACGAGGCCCAGCACCTCTGTCCTTGTGAACCCTCAGCTCTTCCTCTGCCTTTTATGGCTAGAGGGCCATAGCAAGAAGAAGGATAAGAGACCATGGCTGAACCTCTTTTATTATTTCAGTCCAAGTACCATGTGACATTTTTTGGAGAAAGAGTCTCTCGTGCTTGGATCCCAGTCAACATGCTAAAGAACTTCCAGGAGCTGTCCCTAGAGCTAACTGGAGTGGTAAGCAGCCCTCAGGGGTCAGTTATGATTAAGGGAATTTGAAAACTAAGTCACCTTTATTAAATCTGATTTTCTCTCAATGGAAGCTGTGTCAGGAGAAAGTTCATGTCTGACCAAGTGTGAAAAGGTGAGGTTAGTCATGAGGGACTCTTCTTTCTACCAGGATTGTAGCAGGATAATGATTTTTCTTAGTCTTTCTTAGTCTATTTCCTCCTGCAGATAGGGGGCCTTTCTGAAGACTGCAGTTTTCGAGTTTAGCCAAAGCAGGTGTGGCAGAAAATGTGGCCCCAGATTAACTCAGGGTTTCTCAGTCTTGGCACTGTTGACATTTTGGACTGGATATTGCTTTGTTGTGGAGGGCTGTCCTATGTGTTGTTGGCTATTTAGTAGCAGCCTTGGGCTCTACTGGCATCAGGCCAGTAGTAGCTATTGCCCCTAGTTGTGACAACCAAAAAATTGCCTCTGGACATTGCCAAATATCTTGTGGGGGGGAAAAATCTCCCCTGGTTGGGAATTGCTGAGTTAACTAAATAATATATCCTCATTATAATCACTTCGGGCTTAACCAGCCTTACCAATGAGCAGAGGCCCAATAATAGTTCAGGGACCTTAGAAAATCAGGCAGTGAGTGTTAAATCAAGCAGCTGGATCTAAAGAAACTTGTCAAGATCTTAAAAGTGGAATCCCCCGAACTCCTTTAATCTTACCTTTTCAAATATCCATGCGATTTAGTTTGGAAAGGATACCAAAATGTTGGCTGAAAATATGGTTTGGAACACGTGAAAGGTTTTGGGAGGATTAATGGGATTGCGTCATTGAGCTCAAAAGATTAAGAATAGGAGTATCATATCAATACCAGGTACTGGAAATAAATGCAGTTAAAGATAGTGTATGATGAGCGTCAGTATGTTGGGGTCACTTCTCTAATATTTATCATTAACTCTAATTTTTTCCATTTCAGAAAAACTGCAGGAACAAGGACTGCAGCCAGAAACTAGGGGCAGCCCTGATGATGGCTCGAGAGGCAGAACAGATCAGTATTCAGGTGGGACAGTGTTCAGACCACATACCTGCTTCTCTTTGGGACTTGGAAAACAAATCTATCCATACATACACTCTGTACTACAAAAAACTGGTTTGTCTGTTTACATTACACACTCTTAGCCTTAGAACTAGTCTTTCCTGCCCAGGCAAGATTCCCTTGACTCCTTAAACCACCCATTCTTTTCCCTACTCTTGGACAAATGGGATCTTCTCTTAGCCCAGGCAGAGGCAGTTTGTGGTAGGGGCTATCCTACCTCCGTATTTAGCAGCCTTGGGCTCTACTGGCATCAGGCCAGTAGTAGCTATTGCCCCTAGTTGTGACAACCAAAAAATTGCCTCTGGACATTGCCAAATATCTTGTGGGGGGGAAAAATCTCCCCTGGTTGGGAATTGCTGAGTTAACTAAATAATATATCCTCATTATAATCACTTCGGGCTTAACCAGCCTTACCAATGAGCAGAGGCCCAATAATAGTTCAGGGACCTTAGAAAATCAGGCAGTGAGTGTTAAATCAAGCAGCTGGATCTAAAGAAACTTGTCAAGATCTTAAAAGTGGAATCCCCCGAACTCCTTTAATCTTACCTTTTCAAATATCCATGCGATTTAGTTTGGAAAGGATACCAAAATGTTGGCTGAAAATATGGTTTGGAACACGTGAAAGGTTTTGGGAGGATTAATGGGATTGCGTCATTGAGCTCAAAAGATTAAGAATAGGAGTATCATATCAATACCAGGTACTGGAAATAAATGCAGTTAAAGATAGTGTATGATGAGCGTCAGTATGTTGGGGTCACTTCTCTAATATTTATCATTAACTCTAATTTTTTCCATTTCAGAAAAACTGCAGGAACAAGGACTGCAGCCAGAAACTAGGGGCAGCCCTGATGATGGCTCGAGAGGCAGAACAGATCAGTATTCAGGTGGGACAGTGTTCAGACCACATACCTGCTTCTCTTTGGGACTTGGAAAACAAATCTATCCATACATACACTCTGTACTACAAAAAACTGGTTTGTCTGTTTACATTACACACTCTTAGCCTTAGAACTAGTCTTTCCTGCCCAGGCAAGATTCCCTTGACTCCTTAAACCACCCATTCTTTTCCCTACTCTTGGACAAATGGGATCTTCTCTTAGCCCAGGCAGAGGCAGTTTGTGGTAGGGGCTATCCTACCTCCGTATTGAACTTTAAGTCTCTTGAACCTTAACCTCTCTTATGCAAAGGCAGTTTTTACCCTCAAATGCTGCCTTTGGGAGTGGAGTGGAGAATGACAGTGAATGTCCCATTCCCAGTTACTTACAGAATTATAAATAAAGTGGGAAAAGATTATAATAATGTTATAATATTACAATAGTTAATCATAAAAATTGAGATAAACATAATGTAAATTTTCAAATGAAAATAGCATGGAATAGAAATAACAAATTCCATAACTAAAATCTTGAAGACAGAAGGTAAACATCACCCTTCAGAGAGTAGTGGATGATGCTTTTGTTTCTTGGTTCCTTTAGGAGCGGGTTAACTTGTTTGGTTTCCGGAACCGATTCAATGGATCTGACGATAGTGGGGAAGGAAAAGGTAGGATAAATAGGAAGAGGGTAAGGATAGAGAAGGAGGTGAGGAATTCCTTCATGAGGCCAGCAACTGAAGCTTTTCCTTATTTTTATATCCAATGTCATCAGCCTAGTTCTGGATTTTATAATAGGAGGCTTTCCAGAATGCCATTGACCAAGTGTGTGGGATTGCTGGATGGAAGCATGAGTGGAGAGAGGAATGGAAAACAGAGGAGGGGGTGGAGGATGCATGTTGAGCAGTGATGGGTTTTGAAACAGGTGGAACCATTATACCCTAGGATCATGTTTTATGGAGAAAATACCACTTAGGCATGAGAGGCAGAGTTAGAAGAATGATTCTCTGGGATCACCTATTTTCTTGGAAAAATTATTTAGCCTTCTTTCCTATTTCTGTTCTAGACTTAATGCTCTCTGGGCCTAACAGCCCAGATTCCTGCTTGGAGAAAGAAGAGGAAGAGTCAGAGTTGGAGGAGGAGGAGGAAGAGAAAAAAGTAAGATTGATCTTGGGGATTCCTTTTAGGAGATTCCTGTAGGACACCTGGTTAGCATGTATTTCTATTTACTAAGGAACAGTCCTGTCCTTGCCCCAGGGTAGCCCTGACTGGCTGATGTTATCTCTTAAGGGTCTCCAGGGAAGCAGATCCTCCTCTTTCCTCAGTTTTTCTATTACCTTACATCTCTAGGAACCTTTTTCTTGATTATCATCTCAGTTCCCACTGTAGCTCTTTGGTTCTTACTGGAACAATTTCAGAGAATAGCAGGTTGCCTCTCTTTATTCTCCCTTCTTCTCTGTGTGGAAACTTAGGATTCTCATTCACTTGTTTCCTTAGTCTTTTTTCAGGCATATGAAATACAGATTTTTTCATATTTAAGGGTAGTTTTTAAGAGTGGTTTTAGATTCACAGCAAAATTGAGAGGAAAGTAGAGTTTCCATATACCTCCTGCCCCCACACATGCATAGCCTCCCCCACCATCAACATCCCCCTGCCAGAGTGGTGCATTTGGTTACAATTGATGTATCTACATGGACACATCATAATTATCCAATGTCCATAGTTTACATTAGGGTTCACGAGGAATTGTGCATTCTATGGGTTTCAACCAATGTGTAATAACATGTATCCATCATTACAGTATCATACAGAGTATTTTCACTGCCCTGAAAACCTGTGTGCTCTACTTATTCATTCCTCTCCTGCACCCCTGGAATCCCTGACAACAACTGATCTTTCTGTTGCCTCCATAGTTTTTGCTTTCTCCAGAATGTCATATGTAGTCATACAATATGTGGCTTTTTTAGGCTGGCTTATTTCACTGAGAAATGTGTATTTTAAGTTTTCTCCAAGTCTTTTCATGACTTGATAACTCATTTCTTTTTTTTCCTGATGAATAGCATTCAATTTTCTGGATTTGCCACAGTTTATCCATGTACTTATTGAAGGATATCTTGGTTGCTTCCAATTTTGGGCAGTTATGAATAAAGCTGCTATAAACATCTGTGTACAGGTTTTTGTGGGAACATAAGTGTTTAGCTCCTTTGGGAATAAACCAGCCCTATTGCTGGAGCGTATGGTAAGAGTATGTTTAGTTTTTTAACAAGACACCAAATTGTCTTCCAAAGTGGTTACTCCATTTTTCATTCCCACCAGCAATTAGAGTTCCTGTTCCTCTGCATGCTTGCTGACATTTGGTGTTATCAGTGTTCTGGATTTTGGCCATTCTCATACGAGTGTAGTGGTATCTCATCACTTTAATTTGCATATCCATGATGACATATGATGCGGAGCATCTTTTCATATTCCTATTGGTCATCTCGATATCTTCAGTGAGATGTCTGTTAAGGTGCTTGGTCCATTTTTTTAATTGTATTGTTAATTTTCTTAATGTTGTGTGTTATGAGTTCTTTGTCTATTTTAGATAACAGTCCTTCATCAGATGTGTCTTTTATAAATATTTTCTCTGAGTCTGTGACTTGTCTTCTCATTCTTATGACACTGTCTTTCACAGAGCAGAAGTTTTTAATTTTAATGAAGTCAGCCGATCAGTTATTCCTATCTTGGACTGTGCCTTTGGTGTTGTATATAAAAAGTAATTGTCATACCCAGTGTCATCCAGATTTTCTTCTATGTTATCTGCTAGGAGTTTTATAATTTTACAGTTTATACTTAGATCTATAATACATTTTGAGTTAATTTTTGTGAGGGGTATAAGGTCTGTGTCTGTGTTCATTTTTTTGCATGTGGATGTCCATTTGTTCTAGCACTATTTGTTGGAAAGACTGTCTTTGCTCCATTATCTTATCTTTGCTCCTTTGTCAAAGATCAGCTAACTAGATTTATGTAGGTCTATTTCTGTGCTCTCTATTCTGTTCCCTTGACCTATTTGTCTACTCTTTTTCCACTACTACACTGTCTTGATTATTGTAGTTTTATAGTAGTCTTGATGTTGCCTAGAGTCAGTGCCCAACTTTTCACTTCTCCTTCACTATTGTATTGACTATTCTGGGTCTTTTGCTTTTCCATATAACTTTAGAATCAGTTTGTTGATAGTCATAAAATAACTTGCTGAGATTTTGATTGGAATTGCATTGATTCTAGATCAAGCTGGGAAAAACTAACATCTTGACAAAATTGAGTCTTCCTATACATGAAAATGAAACATCTCTCCATTTATTTAGTTCTTTGATTTCATTCTATCAGAGTTTTATAGGTTTCTTTTTATAGATCTGGTACATATTTTCTTAGATTTATATATAAGTTATTTAATTTTGGGGGTACTAATATAAATGGTATTGTGCTGTTAATATCAAATTCACTTGTTCACTGTTGGTATATAGGAAGGTGACTTTCGTATATTAAGCTTTTAAGCTTGTATCCTGCAAGCTTGCTATAATCACTTACTAGTTTCTAGAGTCTTTTGTTTATTCTCTTGAATTTTCTACATAGATGATCATGTCACCTGCAAACAAAGACCATATTGTTTTTTCTTTCCCAATCTCTTTATCTTTTATTTCCATCTGTCTTATTACATTAGCTAATACTTCCAATGTGATGTTAAAAAGGAATGGTGAGAGGGGACATCCTTGCCTTGTTCCTGATCTTAGTGGGAAAGCTAGTTTCTCACCATTAAGTATGATGTTAGTTGTAGGCTTTTTGTAGCTTTTTTTTTTTATCAAGTTGAGGAAGTTCCTCTCTATTCCTAGTTTACTGAGTTTTTTCCATGAATGGGAATGGATTTTGTCAGATGCTTTTTCTGCATCTACTGATATAATTGTGATTTTTCTCTTTTAGCCTTTTGATGTGATAGGTTATATTAATTGATTTTCAAATGTTGAATCTACCTTATATGTCTTAGATAAATCCTACTTGTTCATGGTGTACAATTCTTTTTTTATACATTGTTGGATTTGCTAATATTTTGTTGAGGATTTTTGCATCTCTGTTCATAAGAGAGATTGGTCTGTAGTTTTCTTTTGAAATGTTTTTGTCTGCTTTTGGAATCAGGGTAATGCAGGCCTCATTAAAAAAATAAAGTATTCTCTCTTCTTCTACCCTCTGAAAGAGAATCTAGAGAATTGGCATAATTTCTTTCCTAAATGTTTGGTAGAATTCACCAGTGAACCCATATGGGCCTGGTGTTTTCTGTTTGGGTAGATTATTAATTATTCATTCAATTTTCTTAAGAGATATAGGCCTATTCAGATTGTCTGAATTTTGGCAGATTGTGCCTTTTAAGGAATTGGTCTGTTTTATCTTCATTATCAAATTTGTAGATACAGAATTGTTCCTGGTTTTCCTTTATTATCCTTTTAATGTCCATGGTATCTGTAAAGATATCCTCTTTTTAATTTTTGATATTAGTAATTTGTTTCCTCTTTTTTTCTCTTATAGTTAGCCTTGCTTATAAATTTTGTTCATCCTTTCAAAGAACCAGTTTGTTGTTTCACTGACTTTCTCTACTGATTTCCTGTTTTCAGTTTCATTGATTTCCATTCCAATTCTTATTATTTATTTTCTTTTTGCTTTAGATTTAACTTGTTTTTCTTTTTCTAGTTTCCTAAGATTTAAGCTTTTAGATTATTGATTTTAGATCTTTCTTCTTTTCTAATATATGCATTCAGTGTCCTAGATTACCCTCTAAGCATTGCTTCCACTGCATCCCATAAATTTTGAAAAGTTGTATTTGCATTTTCATTTAGCTCAGTATATATTTTTAAGTTTCCCTTTAGATATCTTATTTGACTCATCTGTGGTTTAGAAATGTATTGTTTAATCTCAGGTATTATGGACTTTTCCAGTTAGCTTTCTGTTACTGACTTCTGGTTTAATTCCATTGTGGTCTGAGAGCATAGTGTATGATTCCTGTTCTTTTAAATTTGTTGTGTTTAATGGATCAGAATGTGTTCAATCTTGATGATTGTTCCACATAAGCTTTAAAAGAATGTATATATGCTGCCATTGTTGGATGAAATAGCCTGTAGATGTCCGTTATGTCCAGTTGACTGATGGTGTTGTTGAGTTCAACTATCTTCTTACTGATTTTCTGCCTGATGGATAGTAATTTCTGATAGAGGGGTATTGGAGTCTCTAACTATGATTATGGATTCATCTAATTCTCTTTGCAGTTCTGTCACATTTTGTATCATGTAATTTTGTGCTGTGTTGTTGGTTACATACACTTTAATGGGTGTTATGTGTTCTTGGAGAATCGACCCCTTTATCATGACATAATGTCCTTCTTTATTCCCAATAACTTTGCTTGCTTGGAAGACTGCTTTGTCTGAAACTAATATAGCTACTCCTACTTTTTTGTTTGATTAGTGTTACTGTGGTATATTTTCCTCCATCCATTTACTTCCATAACCTGTATATGTCTTTATATTTAAACTGGATTTCTTGTAGACAGCATATAGTTGGATCTTGTTTTTTGATCAACTAACAATCTGTCTTTTAATTGGTGCCTTTGGACTGTTGACATTCAAAGTAACTACTGATATAGCTGGATTCATAGCTACAATATTTGTTACTATTTTCTATATGTTGCCTTTGGGTAAGGTATTTTTTTCTGTGACATCTTTCAGAACTTTTTATCTTTGATTTTATCTAGTTTGAAAATGATATCTCTAAGTGCAGTTGTTTATCCTTCTTGGGGTTTTGAGCTTCTGGGATCGTGGTTTGGGACCTGACATTAATTTGGGACCTGACATTAATTTGGGGAAATTCTCCGTCATCACTATATTTTTCATTATTTCTTTGGTTCCTTTCTCTTTTTCTTCTTCTTCTGGTGTTCTCATTATGCATATGTTACACATTTTGTAGTTGTCCCACAATCCCTGGATATTCTACTTTGTTAGAACAGAGTGGCAATTTCCAAGCCCATTATGTGTAGCACTAGAAAATACAGATTTTTCACTTTCTCTTCCAAATTTTTTTATTGAAGTGAAATTAGTACATAACATTACATAAGTTTTAGGTGTACAACATTGTAATTTGATATCTGTATGCACTACAAAGTGATCACCATAAAAAGTCTAGTTACCAGTTTAATTTTTAATTTACCAATTTTTATCATGTTTGTGGCCTAGCTTTATTTCCTTCTCTGTGCACAAAGCCTTGCATTGACTAGTGTCAAACAGAGTGGGACTGATGAGTGCTTTTTTTCTTTGTTGTCATTTATTTAAACAGTATTAGGCTCACAGAAACTAGTATGACTCCCCTAACCCTACCCATCACTCTGTAGTATCCCACTCTTATTAAAAACACAATTATGTGACTTAATTTATATTTTCTTATTTTTCTCTCCCATTCTCAGGACCCAACTTTGCCCAGTCCCAAGCCAGCCAAAATTCAGTCCAAAAAATCCAAGGCAAGAGGTAAGCAAGTCAGCCTGGAAACAGGACATGTGCTCCAGTTAAGGCAGAGCAGAAGCAGAGAGTAAGAGGGGTCTGCAGGTAGCAGAACTTTACTGTCTCAGCTCCAGAACCTGAGAAAAGGCCAAGACTATTGCTAGTGTATCCAGGAAGCTGTGGCCTCCTCACTTCTAGGTAGTGAATTATAAAATCTTAGGTTATAGGTGGAATGGATGTTTTAAATTCTTAGCCAAGGATGACTTCCTAGAAAATGCAGGCTATGCAGAGAAACATAAAGAGATGATGATCCAGGGGGAAAAAAGAGAAATGATTGGGAAAAAGGAACCAAGAAAACTCACTAGATTGAGAATGAGGACAGAGACAGAATGTGGGGAGTCCCTGGACCTTTGCCAAGCTGTCATTTAGAGAGAAATTGACAAATGTCTTTCCTGGTTGTGGGTGGGGGTGATACAGGTATAGCAAATGGACAAGATGGAACCCCTCAAAGGAAGACAGTGAAGAGATCTCTGGGAAATGAATCTGCAGCTCTTCCTGTACCCATAATAGGAAGGAAAGGACATGGGAATTCAGATCCTGACCAGCCAGGTAAGGCTCAAGACTTGGGAAAACCATGAGAAATGAGGTTCATATCTTCATTTTCCCTCCCTGGATCATTTCCTAACAATTCTATAGCTTTTCATTACTTTAAATTAAAGAACAAAAATTAGGCCAAAAAGACACCCCTCAGATTGTAGATCACAGCAGCACACACTATAGAAATATAATGGTTACTGATCTGATTTGATCCAGGGACGGGAGAATGGTGAGGAGGTAGGAACTAGCATTTTTTGAGCATTGGTGTGAGCTGACAGTATACAAACTGTCAGGCTTGTTCCCTTTAATTCTTTTAATATCTCTGTGACTGGGTGTGTGCCATTTCAAAGGTAAGGAGAATGAGGCCCAAAGGATTTAACATTTGCTCAAGACCCATGTCTACCATATGGCTGGCCCATGGCTTGAATGCAGGTCCTTTTGACTCTGAAGCCTATTTTCATTCTTCTGAGAAAGGTCATCTTTTCCAGAGATTTTTTGGAAATAAGAATTTAGGAGTTTGGTTACCAAAGGGAAAGGGACTGGGAGGGTGGGTGGAAAGGAAGGGAGAAGGGAATAAGGGGCATTATGATTAGCACACATAATGTAGAGGGGGGCACGGGGAGGGCAGTACAGCACAGAGAAGACAAGTAGTGACTCTATAGCATCTTACTACATTGATGGACAGTGACTGTAATGGGGTATGTGGGGGGACTTGATAATGGGAGTCTAGTAACCACAGTGTTGCTCATGTGATTTTTATATTAATACCAAAATACATACATACATACATACATACATACTTCCCCCAAAAAAGAATTTAGGAGTTTGACTTGTAAAAGGTAAGGATAGATAACCTAATAGGATTCTCACTTGTGTCACTGTCACTTAGGCCCTACAAAAAAATTTAAAGCTCCCCAAATCAAGGCCTCCTTAACCAACTTGTCTGAGGAAAAAGAATCTAGAATGGTGCCAAAGGACATGACCCCCACAGTTCATTGTGGGGCCTGTCCTGTGGTGGGGAAAGAAGGGCCTGGACCCCAGGAGCTACCATCTCAGGAGGCTATAAGTTTCCACCCTGATGATGAAGACTCCAGTGACCTGGACCTGGAGCAACTCCTTGAAGAAGTTGGAAAAGACCTGGAACAGAAAGAAGAGCCACAGCTCAGGGATGATGCAGAGGAGTTCACCATGGCCTTCTTCGAGGAATAGCTGTGTGCTCCTGCTTCCTTCCCACTCTCCAAGCCCCTGCCTTGGGAGCAGGAGAGCCTCTTAGAGGGTCCCTGAGAAGCTGATAAGTTTGGGGTGTTTGTTGGCTTTGAGGCTAATGGCTAAAATCAGAGCTTTGCAGATTGTGTTTTAATAAAACAGTTACTGGTTAATTGGTTTGGTTCCACTCTAACCACATGCTTCCCTTTGACTGCGCCCCCTCAGCTCCATGTCACTGTGGCACATTGTTGTTTCTGGTGGGAGTCTGCACAATATAAGAATCTGGGAGGGCAGTGCCACCTGAGTCCTGGGAGAAGGACATTGAGAAGGCCAGATCGGGGTTCAAATCCTACTTCAGCCAGCTACTTACTACTTGCATGGCCTTGGGAAAAGCACTGTAACCATTCCGGTTCTTCTTTTCATGCTTTAAATGAGCACATCCAGTACCATATAGGGTTGTTGACGATGCCTAAATGAGGTGATGCACATAAAGTATTTAACACAGTACATTTAGCTATTACAGTAAGGGAAGTAGAATGGTTAGATTACGGGGCAGACCTTGGGTTCTGGACAGCTGCCAGTGTTTGGGGATTTACTGGTAATGGAGCCTCAGTTTCCAGCCAGGCCCCGGGGTGGATGAAGCAGGGCCAGTGCAGATGTGTTTCATAGAGCCTGGAGAGGTTCCTGTAGGTGGGAAGCGGCCACTGGCAAGGACTTCTCAACCCAACTCCCCTCTCAGCTGAGGGAGCCGCTGCTGCCCTTCTCAGAATGAATTGAACTTGACAAAAATGGAATGCCTATGACCTTGTCTTTAGAATTTCCACCTCATCAGGAAGAGCAGTTCAAGCAGACTCTGAATCTGACTTGGCCCCTAGATGAAGCCAATAAATTCAGACCTACCTCTTATCAAGCATCTATATTATATGCCAGGTACTACACTAAGCATTTTTCCTGTATCAGTGTCACTGAATCCTCACAGCAGTCTTATGAAGAAAGGACTATCTTGGCTCCATTTTACAGATGAGGAAGCTGAGATCCAGGGAGGCCAATCCACTTGGCCTAGCACACACAGCCAGTAAACGTGATGCCAGGCATCATGCGCCGTTCATACCCAGCTGAGTAGGGCCTGGACATGCGAGGCCAAGGCCTTTTGTTGGACCGCATTGTCCTCAGTCTTTGCCTGGGCGAGGCTGGGGTCAGACTGGCTGTTCTGGATTGGCAGAGCAGCCCAAAGGCTGGATAGCAGCCTTCATCCCCAGCCCTCCACCTGTATTATTGCTGCTCTGGATTCCGCCTGCAGAGGGCAGTGTGAGCACACATCCCAGTACTACACTACCAGGATCAGCTCTTCTGGCACTCTGCCACGACTAGGGGGTGCAGGAAGCATTCTGCTCATAAACCAAAAGGCCAGCCAGCCAGCCAGCCCTTCCTCGGACCACCTTCCCTTAGCTGGGCCCTCTGAGGCCATGCCTTACCCCCAATACCTCAGAGCCAATGCAGATATAACAGAGGGAAGGAGTTCCGTGGGGTTGGGGACTGCTTGGCGTGTGTCCCTCTCAGCAGTGTCCAGTGTGGCAGGGGCCTAGGGCCAGGCTCAGGGGACTCCTTGGGCTGGATGAGGACGTATGACTTTGGAAAGGATGGGAGAAGTGCTACCAGATTCCCTAGGTCGGCTGGATGTGGGGCAGGGGAGGAAAGCCTGAGTCCGGGTATCAGAAGGAGCACCTGGGTCAGCTGTGACCTTGGGCATGTCACTGCCTTCCTTCCCATCCCAGGGGAAAAAGGCTGAAAGAGGCACCTAGGACGGGCCACCGGAAGACAACCCAGGCAAGGTGGGAGTGACCAGCGAGCGGACTTCAGTTTCCCCAGCCAACGCGCAGGGCCCTGGACTCTCCTCCTGGGATCCTCCCCGCGCCCGCTGGGTGACCTTGACCCTCCGCCTCGGGCCCCGCGCCCCGGTCTGAGCTGGCTCTCCAATCCAGAAGGGAAGGCGCTGGCGGGGCGGAGGGGAGTCGCCAGGCAGCCAGCGGGCGCTCAGGCCGCTGGCGCCCCTCCCGCAGGCCGCCCTGGCGGCGGGCGCTGGGGTGGCGCGGGCGCCACGTGGCCCAGGCCGGGGCGAGAGGCCAGCCGGGCGGGCTAATTCCGTGTGTAAATGACCCCCAATGGAGGGTGGTGGTGCGCGGGGCTGGGATTAGGGCCGCGGCGAATGGCTGGCAATCTTACTGGAATTACAAAACAAAGAACCTCGCTGCGCTCCCGCTCTCGTCTCCGCGCCCCGCCCTCCGCCGCCGAGCGCCAGCCCCCCGGCCGGCCCGAGAGCCCCCGCCGCGGCCCCTCCCCGCCCCGCGCCCCGCTTCCCGTGCTCCCCCGCCCGCCCCTCCGCCGCCTCCCTCTGCCTCTCCATCCCTCATTCACCCGGAGTAATTAAGGAGGCAGCGGCTGGAGGCTGTCCTAACCTCGGGCCCGGCGGGGGCGCCGCTGGCAGGAGCGCTTGGGGATCCTCCAAGGTAGGAGAAACTGTTGCAGGGGAGTGGGCGCGAGGCCCTTCTCGCTTTCTCCTCCGACCCCCGTGGCCCCCGCCGCCCCCTCAAGGTGTTACAGAATCTGGGTTCGGTTTTTGGGTTCATTGGGAGGCACGTGACTGGGATTATAATTCGGGCCCGGGAGAGGGGAGGGACAGCCGCCCCCACCTGCCAGGGGGTGCTAGGACCCGGGAGCTGTCACCCCTGGCCTTCCGGAGGTGGGGGGTGTCCTGGGCGGGCAGCGGGCGCCCGCAGGCTGCTGCAGTTGGCGAATGAGGTCAGTTCTGCAGCCCGTGGCGGCGGGCGCCAGTGTGGGAGCAGAGGGGGCTGGGAAGGCCGCGGGTCTCCGCCCCCCCATCTGTGCCTCCCTCGGGCTGGGCCACCTCCTGACCCGGGCTCCCTCCCCACCGCCTCCCCACGCGCACAGGCAGAGTCCAACACAGGAGTACTGCCCCAGCACAGTGGTTCCTGTTAGAGCCCTCAGGACAGGGTTGACCCAAGCAGTGGCAGCTGAATCCCTGGTTGTGGGGAGGAGGCTCAAAGGATGGCAGTGAGGAACACAAAGCGACAAGAGGAGCAAGTTGGGGGTGCCCCATCTGTGGGTGGTCTCTGAATTCCTGCAGTTGGGTGGGAGGCCGGTGGAGGGGCCACAGGGTGCTTGATGCCCAACCCCCAGCCTGAGTCCGTCGGAATGAAGGGCTTGATGCCTCTCCTGGGCTCCAAGCCTGGCCTGCAGCCAAGGAGAGGGATGATGCCCTGGCCTGGGCCCAGGGCAGGGGGGACCATGCGGCTAATGGAGTGGGCTTGAGCTGTGCATGTCCAGTTCTGTGACCCAGCCTCCCGGGAGGAGACCTGGGGTGGGAGGCTCCTGTGTCCTCATCGTAGCCCAAGTGAAGCAGCTCAGCATGTCAGCGACTCCCTGCCTGGCTCCTGGGGGACCCTGGCCTCAGATGGGTGGTACCTGTGATGTGGGGTGTAGGGCTGCCCTGCGATTGCCCTGGACCTGGTAGCAGGGTGAGGGGCAGACCCGTACAGCTTTTGGAGGAGTGGCATTTGTGGGGCTTTCTCTTACTGCTTACAGCAGGAGGAAGGGGTGGCTGGATGTGGCTGTGACCCTCTCTGGCCATCATCTCCTTCTGAGTGTTTGGTTGCCCCGTGGCTAGTGACTGCTCGTGGCTAGTGACTTCTCGCTCCTCTGCCCTGGCCCAGTGCCTCAGGGCTTGGGAGGTACCTCGGAACAGCCCGTTTATTTCAGCAGCATCATTCCCAAGGGGAAAGGGCACTTCCATCGATTTATTTATTTGGAACAGGAGGTGGCTGTGGCTGGGAGGCTGCTGGCTGCTGGTGGGGAGGGGCTGGGCGCAGGGCCATCAAGGATGGGGGAGTCAGGATGAGCCACCTAGTGTGGGGCTCAGGAGGGTGTGAGGTGGACTCTGACCTCTTCTGAACAGGGACTGTTGGACCAAGAGACATGCTTGGGCCCAAGATGACAGGTGTTGGAACCCCCAACCTGTTTTTGGGATGTGCAGGGCTTAAGACCGCACCCCATTCTGCAGCCTGCCCTGAGGGTGACCTAGAAAGTCGCGATATGACTCAGAGGACCCCAGTGGAGGAAACAATCAAGGATTGGAAATATGCAGCCACTCATGGCCCGCTCATTTAAAACATGGGAGCTTGGGGCCAAAGGCTGCAAAACTGGGTCTTGAAGACAGCCTTGTGGGGGCATGATTAACCTACTTAAGGGGACTGCTCTTAGAGCTCGAGGAAGGGTCGTTTATTTGCAATGTGCTGATCACAAATACTTTTTATATGTTCCTATAAGGCAGTCTTCCAGAGCCAGGCTAGCCTGACACGGTGACGGTTGTCAGTGTTAGATGCTCTGAAAGGCAGACTAATTGTAGGGGTCTCAGAGGCGGCTGTTCTTGCAGCCTGCCTGTCTCCAGCAGCAAGGGTGTCTACAATCTGGTGGTGGCCCGGTTGTCTGACACCCCAGGCGAAGGTCTCAGGGTGACGTGGTGGGTGATGGCTTGGGGCATTCATGTACTAAGCGTGACCTTGGAACCACAGACCACATCTCCTGGTCCATCCTCATTCTGGTTTCTGGTTCATTTCCTCTGGCTCTCATCTGCTTCCTCAATCAATCCTGGAAGGCTGCAGTTTTCCTGGAAGGCCTTTGCACATGCTGTTCCCCTTACCTGGAAGGTTCTTCCCACCCTTCCCCTGCGGGGGATGAGGGGCTTCCTTTAATGGCTCTGCCTGGCTGGGGTGGGGGTAGGGGTTGAAGAACCTGCCTCTTTGCTCTCCTCCTTCAGGACCTAGCTGGCTGTCTTATCCTTGGGCTGGAAGCCTTCTCCATCCTCAGGGTGGCCAACACGCTAGCTCTGTGTCCCCATGACATCCTGTCCTTCCATTGTCCCAACATTGAACTCCCTCAGAATTTACATGTCTCTCTTCCCAGGTACACAAGGGACAGGGCAGGAGCAGAGCCTTGCTTTTGAATCCCTGGTGCCCCAGGGCTGGTACCCAGTACTCACCGAATGGCTACTTCAGTGAAGGAATGAATAAATGAAGTCCTGCTTCAGAACCCTGGCCCACATTGCTAAGCAAACTCTCCGCTATTCCTCAAGTCCCATCTCTGGGGCATGTCCCCC